TCCCAGCTACTTGGGAGGCCCTGGCAGGAGACTCGCTTGAGCCCAGGAGTTGGAGGTTGCTGTGAGCAGTGAAGCCATGGCACTGTACCCAGGGGGACAGCTTGAGGCTCTGTCTCAAAAAAAAGAGAATATAACAATCATAAATATCTATGTAAATACCCTGTCAGAGCACTTAAATATATAGAACAAATATTTAAGAATGTAAAGGGGGAGATAGAGAGCAATGCATTAATAGTAGGGGACTTCCAAATTCTGCTTTCAACAATGGACAGATCATCCAGACAGAAAATTAATAAGAAAACATTAGGTTGAACAACTCTTTTGACCCAACGTGCCTAATAGACACACACAGAGCTTTCTACCCAATGGCAACAAAATGCACATCCTTCTGAAGTGCACACAGAACATTCTTCAGAGGAGATCACATGGTAGGGCACAATACAAGCCTCAAGAAACTTAAGAACACTGAAAGTATATCAAATATCTTTTCTGACAACAGTGGTAGGAAACTAGAAATCAATAACAAAATGAATTTTGGAAAATTCACAAAATAGATGAAATTAAACAACATGCTACTAAAAAAGCAATGGATCAATAAAGAAATCAAAAGGGAATTGTAAAAATATCTTAGATACTAGCAAATCAAATTAAACAGCACATGAACATGGGGAAAGGATAGTCTCTTCAATAAGCATTTTGGGAAAACTGGACATCTATGTGCAGATAAAGAAGTTGGGCCACCTCATCTCACAAGATACACAGAAATCAACACAAAATGACTTACATGTTAAGACCAGAATTGTAAAACTACTTTTAAAAAAAAAAAAAAGCATGAAGGAAAAACTACATGACATTGATATCTGGGCAATGGGTTTTTTTTCAGATTTGACCCCAAAAGCACCAGCAAAAATAGACAAATGGGATTACATCAAACTAAAAAGCTTCTAAGCAGCAAAGGAAAGAATTAACAGTGCACTGAACCAGCCTACAGATTGGGAGAAAATATTTACAGCCATACATCTGATAAGGCTTTAATATCCAAAATATACATCAAGCAACTCAATAGCATGAAAACGAAAAATCCTATTAAAAAATAGACAAGGGCTCTCTCTTCTCTTCTCCTCCAGTCACTCTCCTCTTCGCTCTCCTCTTTTTCTCTCCTCTTTTCTCTACTCCTTGGTGCTGCTCTGCAGCCTCCCTCTCCCACCAATAAAAACCTTTCATACAAAAAAAAAAAAAAAATCTGAATAGATGGTTCTCAAAAGACAGCACATGAATGACCAACAGGTATATGAAAAACAGCTCAACAATACAACAAAAACAGCTCGACACCACTAATCTTTAGGGAAATGCAAATTGCATTTGGGTGCCAGCCACATACACCAAAGCTGGTGGGTTCAAGCC